GGGGAGCTAACAGCAAAGCAAGCTATTCCCCGCCGGAAGTCTGTGACACAGGCCCAACTGGTGATCTCTTCAGAGCCAAAACCGCTCACTGGAGCCATTTCCCCTGGTTTCCTACCTAGCTTGCCTCATAGGTAAGACCTTACACGGTGGAAGGCAGACTTAGGAGCAAAGATGAGCATGTTTGTACACAGCTAGATACAGTGTGGAGCCGGCTTCCATCCCACCGCCAATGTCCAGGCAAAGAATGCATGGGAATCTGACACCGAACCATCTCGGGCTGCTGTTCCCATCTCTTGATTTTCCGTTCCACAGCTTGGGGTCTTAGGAAGGATCCAAGTTCAATAAGGCCAGAAATTTAAGAAAAAAGCTCTTTTGACTTAAAAGTTCATTTTATTAAACTCAAGGAATTTGTCTCGAGTTGGTCTGGTGACTTGAGGTTTCAGGTTGGCCTCCTCTGAGGGCTTCGGGAAGGCTCCAATGCCCACAGAGGACACAGCTGATAAAACAGAGGCAGCCAGGAAAACTGCTTATCCCAACATCCCTGGCTGCTCTGGGCTGAGGCAGATGTAATTGAAATGCCCCATTTGCTCGGAGTTCGCCAGTGCAGGAAAACAGTGGCGAAGCATCCGCCCCGCCCCAGGTTATACACAGCGCCCTACTTTTAATCAGCTCCGTCTTAGGATTGTTGCTAAATCTGAGGAAAGTGGCTGGCCACCAGTTTGTGCAGCTTTCATTTCATCTTTAATATCCACCCTCAAGACAGATAGTGAAAACCAGCGTCACAGTGGACGTCAGAGATCACCAGCAGAGAATGACCTGTGTCAGAGGGTGAAGTCTCCATGCAGAAAAGAAGACCTTCCTGAGGGGGCATCCCCACCCCCTCCTCCCTGTCCCCAAAGCCACCCAAGCGTGCCGCAGGACCACAGGTTTGTCTGGCAGCCGTGTGTTAGTAATCACCAGTAGAAACATGTACCCCACAACAAGCTTCACACGGCCAAGTGTTCAGGGGACGGTTAAGTACAGATGTTGACTCTTGTATGAAACGTTTTACGTGGATTCACTTACTGAAACTTTTTGTCATCCTTGATCACAGTGTCATCCCTGAGGAACATGTATTCCTCTTTTCAACCCATAAATTGTTGAGTGATGCCTGGATTAGAGGGGTAGATGGGACCATATGCCTCCGTCTGACAGGGAAAAAACTATTTTTTCCTAAAAATTATTCTATAGTTTAGTAAAGACTGGGGTCATTTTATTACAAAATTTACTGTGAAGCAAGACAAAACTCTTAAGCAAATGCAAACACACACACACATGCACACACACACACAAACACAAACACACAAGCACACACACGCACACACAAACACACACGCACAAATGCACACACAAACACACACACACGCATGCACATACCCCAGAACTTGCACATACCTGTGGCTTTAATGATCACAATTCACTAGGAGAGTGGATTTTCCTCAGAAGAGCTTAGTGGAGAGATTTGCTTGTGGTTGAGTATTTCCCCCTTGGAGGAACAGAAATATCATAGTAAAAATGCAATGATTAACAACATCTCTATCTAAGGCTCAGAAAGTGTTGACACAGATGTTTGGCTAATCATTCATACCAAATAGCTATTCCCATAAAGGCTAAGATTAGTCGGAATTGGCATGCATTTCTTTCTTCTGTGAGTCTTGCTTGATTATAGATGATGTTTTGTTAGAGTGTATCCATGCAACCTCATAGATGATGTAAAACCTAAGAAAAACACAGACTTGCTGCCAAACCCAAATTAAATACACATCAGAAAAATGTGAACTTGATGTGGGCTCAGGCACCAAGACACTTGCTGTGGCTTAATGTTGAAGACGGGAGCAAAACTGTGAAGAGCAATCCTGAGATTGATGCCACTTTCACACAGGTGTGGCAGCGAACACGTGTGGGGCAGGAAGCTGCGCTGGCAGCAACAGGCCCCGGACGATGGTGGGCAGCAGCTGCAGCCCCCAGCAGCCGTGAGGAGGGGCCCGCACACGGGGTAGGGAGGCTGTCTCGCACATACACGCACTGCAGGGGTCACGGTCGCAATCACGCGGGAGTCGGCGGTGGAGGTGGCTGCTCCTCACCCCTGGGAGAAGCCGTGCAGACGCCTCTGTGCCACGTTTGCCCTTCTCGTTCATAGTCTGGCCCCAAGAGACGCACTCAGCTGGCTACTTCCTCCTCCCCTTCACCACGCTCCTCACACAATCCCCGGAAATCCATGTGCAACTGCCCTCAGGTTGCGTCTGGATCTTCTCCAGGAATACAGAAGTCCTCTGTCCTGGGAAGCGAGTGGGGCTCGGGAGAACCGGGGCATCCCCAAACCTGAGCACCATGTCTCCAGGAGATCGTGGGTCTGGTTTCCATTCTAAAAGGCTTTTCAGTGCCTGCTACTGGGAAGGGTCCTACCAGGTGCTGAAGAAATAACAGAAGGCATGGATATGAAATGGTTGCACAAACTTCCCTAGTCTGCCCGGGGACCGAATCCCAGACACCCAAAAACAAAGGCGCAAAGGAAAGCAGCTGGACAGCGTGGGAGCCGAAACTCCTGGGTACCAGGGGAGCCCATAACCACTTACCCTGGCAAGAAAACAGCTGGCATCAGGTAACTGGAGGAGAAAGCCAACTTTAGCCCCTCTGAGGAAGAAAACTCTGCTGCGGACAGTGTGAAGCACCAGGTTTGTGGCTGGAACCATTCTAAAGGAAACACGCTGCTCTTCAGGAGGGTCCTTCCCCTGCAGAAGGTGCAGACTCCAGCTGCCCCTCACAAGGCTTGCTCACATGACAACATAGCAGCACCTACTGTGAGTTCAGCTGTCCCCTGCAAAACTCCTGAGGAACTTAATCCCCACCATGGTAGTCTCCTGAAGTGGAGCATTTGGGAAAATGACTAAGTCACACAAAAGATCAACACCTTACAAAAGGGCTGGAGGGAACTAGCATAGGTCCCCTTTTCCCCTTTCATCCTGTCCACCATTTTCGAGGGTGCAGGTATAGGCACCATCCTGGAAGCACCTGGCACAGAACTCTGATCTTGGGGTCACCACCTCTAGTACCAGTGAAGGAAACTTCAGTTCCCCACGAGTTACTTAGAGTCCTGCATTCTGTCACAGCAGCAGGACAGGACTGCAAGCACCTCAGGCAGCCTTCCAGGAGCTCCACCTCCCACATTCTGAGGAGACTGCACTTCTGACCCGCCCCTTGGCCCACGATGCCCAACACTTTTCCTGTGGCCTACGACTGAGATGCCAGTCTTACCAAGGGATGGAAGGGAGAGCTTGTCCTCTTCCATAAAGCATGGAGGGGAGAGCAGACAGAAGAATGGGCTGGCAGACACACTCCTTGTGACCTCTTTTTTTAAAGAGCCATAAAGGGATTTATTAGGCAGAAGTTCGAAAGTTCAAAGAAAGAGAGGTGTCCTACGCTTTGGAGCTCAGCATATGTGGCTTTGACCTTGTTACGGTCTCCTTATACTCGTATTTATCCTCAAGACACTTGCTAGGGTCGGTTCCTGATTTCAGTTTGCGGCTGCAGAAGGGTCAGCCCGATTTCACATGCCCTGTCTTTTGCTGATAACTCCTGCTTGTGACTAAGGTCGCAGCTCCAGGGCCAGCAGCCTGAAGGTGCCCTTGGCTTCTGGGCGTCCTTACACCTACCCATACCTGTGCTGGGTTGGCCCTCCCCGAGGGCTGTGAGGTCCTTCGAGAGGGTAATGTGCTTTCTGCACAACATTTCCTAACGCTTCTGTGCGAAGTGGCAATGACAGTGGCAACACGTTCGGCAATGCCCAAAGTGTGCACACCTGGGAGACGCAAGAGGCAGCCGCCAGCCACACGGGACCCAAAATAGAGCGCTGGACACGTGCGTAGCATGTCTGAGCAGCTGCACATTTTAGCTGTGTGCTGTTTTAGTAGTTTATATCTCAATAGCTACACACGGCCAGCGGCCAGCACACGGGACAGCCAATTGTGTCAACTCCTACACGGCCTGTCAGGGAGAACCTGGTAAACTAGTATTGAAGTAAACTGAACTTAGAAGCTCAAACCTAACTCGGTTCTCAGTTTAATGGCTTAAAACTTCAAAATACTAGGGAAGTTACTCATTCATGCATTCAGGTTCCAAGTGTGGGAGAGGCTGTCCTATGCCAGTGCCTTGTGGCCTTGGGTACCGCTTGCCTTCAGGAGCTCTTGCCCTACCCACTGCTGTCCCACGGGGATCCAACTCTGTCACCACTCTGACAGCATTCCTGTGGAGGTATGTCTAAGGGGCAGCGATCTGGAGGGAGGGTCCTGCTGGCCACAAGGCTCAGGCCAAAGGAGGCCTCTAGGCTGCTCTCAGATCAACAAGGACAGCCTCACTCTGCCAGCAACACGGGGAAGTGGCGGGCACCGAACAAAGCAAGGCCCAGCAGTCAAGACACTGGTACAGTAAGCACAAGGAGAAGACACCAGAGGGCTTTGCGCAGGGGTGTGAGCTGATGTGCCTCAGATTTCAGCCCCTGTGCTGGGCAACCGCGAGAATACTGGGCACCAGGAGCAGGCAGGCTCGGTGGAATGCCCAGCTCCCACAGGTCTGGGGAGAGGAGTGGCCTGGCCAGAATGAGGGAGGCAGAGAACATTTAAGATGTCCAAGGGGTACCTAAAAGGGATCAAAGTATACAGAGCGTCAAAATGCTCAAATTCAAAGTTATTACAGGAAGAGACATTAATCTCCGTCATTTCAACCCTCATATCCTATCATCCTTGCCACTTCCTGAAGCAGCTCTGGAAGTCCTCCTTCAAGAGTATCACCGCGTGGTGTAATAAAATATACAGCAAACGCTGGTGCCAAGTGTCATCCGACAGAGAGGCGGCTCATAAAATACGACGCTGGGTCCTCATCCACACTAGTCACCAGATCTGGCACTGTGAGGCCTCTGGCTCTTCCCCAAAGTCAAAATGACCACGGAAAGTGAATGCTTTGGCTCACTTCAGGACAGCCAGGCAGCCACGGCAGCACAGCTGAAGACACCAAAGACACTCACGAGGACGGACCTCCAGAACCGCTTCAGAAAGTGGCAAGAACTATGGGTAAGTGTGTTGAAGCAAGGGGAGGCATTTTCAGGGTAGGTACTGGTGACTTGTCTTTCACTGTAACTCACTTTTTAAAATGTAAGTGTTCACCATACTGGTCCGTCACACCTTGTATGTGTGCAGGGCACAGAGTAAAGCAAGCAGGACATGCATAGCAGAGCTGCTCGCAGCAGTGTTGTCTTTTGTTTGAGCTTTAAGGTCTGTCAACAAAGGTAGGCACCGCCATAGCAGCAGAGCAGAAGCAAGTGGGTCTGCTTTCACTCAGAGAATTTGGGAGGAGGTCTGGCGGTGACTGGGCCGGGACCCCACAGCCTGAATGGGGCTGGCAGGCTGGCTGGGGCAAGGGGACCCCCAAAGCACCTCAAGTCACCCCACACGCTATTTCCCGCATGCTGAACTGTCGGACAAAGTTGTTGAGAAAGACTGGAGTCACCCCCGGATCTTGTTAGATTTTATTTCTCACAGTGGACCATCAGCAGGGAGATAAATTTAGATTCGTTGTTAAGCAAGCCACACCATGGTAATTGCACAAATATGATGTTTTGCATTACACTTTTATTATCTTGCCATTCTCTTCCAAGTTCTAATCCTTCTTTCTCATCACTCTCTGGTTGTTCCTGATCTGTCGCCCCTGCTACTCCTCGCAGGACAGTCATTAAACTGCTCCAACCCCCAGTAAATGGTGGAAAGAATGAAGGCGCTTGGCGCTGGAAACTCCTGAGGAGACAGTTGGGAAGTGGTTGAAAATTAAAACCAGGCGGCTTAATGAAATTAATACGGCCTGTTTGCAAACAGGAGCCTCAGCCCTGCGTCCCTGGGCTTGGTTTTATCTATGACCTCAGAGCTCAGAGGGGACAGCTGGGCAGAGGAGCCAGTTTGTGAGCAGCTGGGGACCGGGGACCCTGCCGTGGGTGTCTCCTCTTCCTCCCCGGAGACGCTGGGGAAATCGCAGCTTGCTCCAGTCCGGAGGCTCCAGGACAGTTTGGGTGGAGGCCAAATGGGTTCGTTTTCTAGCGTCTCTCCAGCATTTTCTCCCAACGCTGCCTGAACAGAGAGCTGCATCCAACCAAGCAGGGACCCCGGGAGTCTGGTTTGGCTAGTGGTTCTCACTGGCTAGGGTCTTAGCAAAAACTTCGTGGTCAAAGTGACTTACAAACTTGTGCTCAAGAGTTCAGAGGTGAGACCAAGCTTCGCTGGGAAATGCAATGGTGTGGTGTGAGGACTCTCGCTCCGGGACTCGTGGGTGGAGGCTTCTTTGGAGAAGGTGAATGACATTCTTGAAGGGAAGCAGTACCATGGCTGTTATTCAGCCGCATTAAATGTGTGGAGTGTCATGTAAACAATAGCAATGGTGAAGCTCAAAGCAGACTTTTAAAACCATTCGTGGAATGTTGACCTTCTAAACACCACTCGGTCTCTAAACTCCTGCAGCAGAGGGAGCAACGAGAAAAGCCTGCTTGCCAGGCACGGAAAAGGCTCCCCAGGTCATCAGCACAGGGCTCTGTGGTGCTTCCCGGGGGTTCTGATGTATTCCACTGGCTCAAGCCAAGGCTGAGCAACCCTCTGTGGACCGCTGCAAGAGCACAGACAAGGCCGGAGCAAGCACAGTCCAGGTGCCGCCAGGAGGTAGGAAGGGCCTATGGTAGGTGCAGCTCTAACATAACTCCCCAATCTCCCACTGCCCCCTCCCAGCTGTTCAGTCAAACACTATTCAGGCACGCTATCATCCTAGCATTGTGGGAGGCTGAGGCAGGAGCATCAAAAATTTGAGCCCAGTGTGGATGACTTAGCAACTTAGGAATCTCCTGTTTACGTTCATTGTCACTTTCTTGCCTCAGGGACAAAATACCCAACTCCTGAAACTTCAAGGAGGGGAGGTTTACTTTGGCTTCCAGTTTCAGTGACTTTGGTCTGCGGCTGGCACTCAGGCAGAGGTGGCCGTACAGTATGGTCGGGGCGGAGGAGAGTGGCTCACCTCATGGCAGCCAGGAAGCAGAGAGAGAAGGGAGGAGCCAGGCAGGGAGATGCACCCTTCCAGGTCACCCCTAGTGACCTCCCCTTGCAGCCAGGCCTGGCACCAAATGTGAGATTTTGGGGGTACATATTAAACCTAGGCCATAACATTGTCATAGAAAATAAGTCTGGGGATGTAGCTCAGTGCAGAAGCCCTGAGTTCAATTCCCAGTACCACAAAAGCAAAACAAAACACCCTCTAGGGACTGGGGTGAAGGAATCTTGCAGATGGAACGAAGGTGCAAAATACTTGAAGGTAGAAAGACTGTCCCAGCCTGACCTCTTCATGGGACCCCTTGGGGGGCTCCTTGTGAAGAGAGAGACGTGACAGTTGGAGACTCCGTGTGAGGGAGATTCTCCATCCTGGCTTTGAAGAAGGAGGGAGGACCTACAAGGAACTCAGAGGAAGTGAATTCCGCTGACACCTGTGTGAGTGGGAAGCTAATCCTTCCTCTCAGCCTCCAGCAAGGAGGAAGCTGGTCAGCACCTCGATCTCACTGTGTGGAACTGAGCAGAGAACCTCGAGTCTCAGCGCCCTGACTTCTCATCTGTAAGGTGTGACAGAGCTCATCAGTGGCTATTGGTGCCAGCCGGAAAATTCATGGGACTTTTACACAGCAAAGGAGCATGAACAAACCTGTTTTGGAGTCAGCATTTGCAGATTCTTTGTAAGTAAAGTCCTACCTTCCCACAGCTGCATGATGTTCATTTCTCAGCCTGAGTGTCCTCGTTTCCACCTGAGGGGTCACCCCTCTCCTGGGGCTGTCCCAAGCACTGCTGATGAAGTACACAGAACTCCCCCATAACTCTGGACACCGCACTCAAAGACAGTTAATTCTCAGCAGAGAGTCATTAATTACAGCCGTTTCTACGTGCACACTTTTGCTAGTATCCCTGTTATGTGGGCTTGGCCTTTCCCAGGCTGCAGTGTTTGCTAAGGGGCTGATTGCCATTTCCTGTGGGAAGGCGCCACTGTCTCACCATCCCCAAAGGCTCCCATTGGGGTGGATGTCCCTCAGTCGAGGCCCCGGGCAGGCCTGCTGTGGAGAAACCCACTAATCAGCTCTCAGCGTGTCCAACACTTTTGACCCCAAGAGCACCTCCCTCCTGCCAGGCTACTAACCCGTGGGACTGGACAGGTCCACAGAGTCCATTTGGGGGAAACCAGTTCAGCAGCTAACAAGAATCTGCCGATCCTCTGTGGCAAGCAGCCGCCTGAGTTGCAGCGGCCTGTCTGGGCTGCCGGGCTCTCGGCCATCGGTGTGACCACCGCGTCCCCCAGCCTTGGCCCCAGCATACCCAGACACTTGGACAAAGGAAAGTGAGCCGTGGTAAGCACATTTCAGGCAGCTAACCCTGCCTTTGACTACAGAGAAAAAGGATCACAACTAAACATGTTCACCAAGAAGTGAAAACATCTTGCCTGGGAAAATACTTAGCCTTATGTGAGAATGAAAGCTCACTGGCCTAAAACAACAACACAAACACCTTTTCACTTCTACGAATTCTATGAAAATAAAGTCTACCCTCTGCAAGCAAAAGACATTAAAAACAAGAGCTGCTCTGCCACATAAAGGAGCATGTTATAAACCAGTGATAACCTCTCCTTGTGGCCTTGAGCCAAGACCACAGGCCGATCCCGGGACCAGGACAGAGGATCCAGAGTCCATCTCTTAGACCCAGGACTTCATATATGAGAAATATGACATCAATGATGAATAATTCAATCACTGGAATCAGAAAAACTGGATGAATCTCTAAGAGAAAACATCTAGCTCTCATTTTATTTAAAAATGAATTGCAAATAGAATATGAATTTAAGTATAAAATAACTTCTAAATACACTAGAAGAAAGTGTAGATAAACATCTAACCCTGGGTTAAGAAAGAATATTTCTACATAATCCCAGGAGTAAAAACATAAAGAGAAATACCGACCAACTTCATGAATTTATACTACCTAGAGATGTCTATATTCAACAGAAACAAGTTTTAAAAGGCAAAGAAAAATTGAGAAAACTGTTCCTGCGACATTTATTAAAAAAATGATTTTTATTACTACAGGAATGACAAAAAAGATTTCCCTAAAAGAAAAACAAGCACAGGACATAGATAGGAGCGACAAATTAGAACACAATGTCCAGTAAATACGTGAAAGCATATTTGACCGCACTGGTAGTGAAGCAAATGGAAAAAATAATAATGAGATATCTGTCTGGTAAGATATGACAAAAAGAAGTGGTAATCTTCATGGTGTTGGTCTTGGGACCTGCATTCATTAAAGGGAGGTAAATTTGATAAATTTTCAGTGTAATAGAAAAAAGTAAACCTTGAAGATAAGCAAAAGGGCAGCTACGTGTTTTCACCTTCTCCTGAGGGTAACTGTCTCCTGTTTTCAGCGAGTCTGCAGGACAGAGCAATAGCACAGCTCGTGTGGGTTGGTATGGGTACACGACACACCAACACACCGTAACTCCTTTTCACATTCCCTTTCCCTTCCCTCCCTTCCGTCTCCCCCTGCCTCCGTCTCCTGGTTTCCTTCCCTTTTGCAAAGGCTCTCCCCGTTTCCTATCACCCGTCTTTCATTTTGCTCTTTAATTTATGTACACTTTGGGTTTCCCATAGAAGAGGCACCACGTGACACTGAAGCCTGTGTGTCTGATGTTTCTCACTTAACACTATGGTCTTGAGGTGCATCCGTTTCCCTACCATGACTCTTGATCAGATTTATTAGTTTCTGCTGACTGGGATGCACCAGGACCTGGTAGGGGTCATGTGAACATCTACAAATCTGAGAGCAACAAAACTGCCTCGTGTCTGGTGGCCCAGTGAGAGGCCTGTGCCTGCAGACACAGGGCAGCAGGGCCCAGCCTGGGGTGCCCCTGGTGTGCCTGACGGCCCCTTCGGGTTGTGCAATGCCATCTGCCCACACCTCTGAGTCAGCTCCATCCCGCTGCTGGCTCACTGCAGGAGAGAAATAAATCTCTGACTTGCATTCACTGTGTGCCTCTGTGAGTGGGGTTTTTCACTTTTAAAAAAATGATACCTTGACAGAAACTTGGCAAAAGGACAGCAAAGGCCTCAGATGAACGCATCTCCTCTGCCACCATCATTCAGCTTCGAAGAATTTGCCCTCTGGAGGTGATGAGGAGGACCGACAGCTGTGAGGAAGTCCAGGCAGCTGTCCATGATGATATTTTAAAAAGAGAAAAATGACTCTGTAGGTTCTCAACCCAGAGTGATTTGGAGGAATAATTCACCATATTGGGAGACTGCTGGTTTCCACAGCTGGGGGAAGGCAAAGTGGCCAGAGCCAGGATGTTGATCACAACCGACAGTGCTTGGGACAGTGCCCCTTCGAGCAGTGACCTGGCCCACATAGATAGTGACCTGGTCCCCACAGACAGTGACCTGGTCCCAGTTCTCCGAGTCTGAGAAACCTGACTCACATGTGTAGATGCTCCGCAGGGACTGGCTGAGACACATTATGGTGGAATCTCCCTCACAATCACGAAAGAAACGATAGTCTATGTGTACGTTTATATTTACATTTCCAGCGTACTAGTAAGTGAAAGACTTTATAAGATGGTATTTGTGATGCTCATTTGACTAGAAGAATACATGACTCTTTTAACCAATGGGAAGAGCAGGGGGTCCTGCTGTGAGCTGCTCCGCTGCATAGAGCAGCAGTTCTGCACAGATCCACCAGCCTCGAGCTACTCTTGCTTATAAAACTATTATTCCACAAGGGAAAGGTAGAAGGCACATAAACGACCCCCATCTGCCCAGCACCACCACGGCACACACTGTTAAGTAACTTACTCATGTCAATAAAAAATGAGGCCCAGAACTATGCCCGGAGCACACGCAGTCAAGTATAGCAACTCGCATCAGAAAAGCCAGGCGTCCAAGCTTGTCGGGCCCCAGAAGAGCTTAGCGTGCCGGCAAGAGCCGGTGCATGGGCTTTGAACTTTTGTTCCACCCGCCTTTCCCACCTAAATTCTCCGACATGGTAACTACAGAATTTGCCCTCAGCCTTCAGTGACGGCCAGCACTCTGTAAGGGACTGGCGTGATCACACCTCCCAACAATGCGCGCGGAGGCCAGTGTGGCCCGGGGCCAGGGCTCCCTGGGCTGCCAGGAGCACTCGGCCCCACACCAAGTCTGTGCTCCCTCTCAGCTGCCAACATTGGTTACCTGTCCTGGCCCAGGTGTCAGACTGTCCCTCCTCCGTTCCTCCTCTCCTGAACCAGCAGAGACAGAGGACACATCTAGTTTTCCTTGCCAGCCCTTGCAGTCCCATGCCTGACCCTCTCATTGGTGTGCCTCCCTTCTCACTGCATAGAATCTATTATTCCATTACTTTTGTTTTTTAGTTAACAAAGCATTTTAAATTCAGTCTGTTGCATGGTAGACAAAACTGTGTATCCTCCATTGACCTGACAGTTGATGAATAATTACAGAGGCTCTAGTCTGGGTACTGGGCACTGTGCTAGCTCAACCTTGCTTGTCTTAGATTAGCCTAGGAGGGGTGGGACGAAGTGGGATGTTTATGAGATTCTCGGTGTCTTTCAGGCAGGCCTTTCGGAAGAGTTCAAGATTTGGCTAGCCTGGGATGAAGTTCATGACATGTTAGTTGAGAAGAGGTAACCTGTGATCATCCAGTGCTGTCTGTGGTGAGCTGAGTAACCCAAAGGCCATTGAAGTTAATTTGGGGGAGGTTATGGAAGTGAGCAGTGATGTTATTTGCAAGTTGAGTCTCTCTGGGCAAGAGCTATCAGGCGTAATGAAGTCAGCTTGATCAGGACAGTGTAACAGTAAATCAATATTAGTGTGGACAGTGAGCTGTGTGGGTGTGGGCATTCTGGTTCTCAACATTCAGCCCACTAATACTTCTGAAACTCATGAAGGCAGAGCTCACTGAAGTGGGAGGTGCTGATGAGAAGTCATCCCAAGAAACACAGTTAGAAACATGGGGGAAGAAAGGCGCCAGGAAGTGATTTACGGGAAAGGCAAGATGCTCGTACACGTGACCCCAGTCATGCCCAAATGTCTTCCACAGTGTGCAGGGGCAGCAAGCGGGGAGCTGAGGACAGGGCAGAGTTCCCTCGGGGGAATTGCAGGCGCTGCGAGCGCAGGGCAGGCATCTTTGCTCCTTCTGCTAATGAACCATAGGGAGGCAGCTTTGGACCTAGCCAGCCAGGTCCACTCACTTCACAGTGTCAGGAATTCCAAATGCAGGCGAAGTGTGGGACCTTTCCCCTAAAACTTGGAAAAGCAGAGAACACCTACTGTCCCAATAGACCTGCTTCCCTTCCAGTGAAAGCTCAGGCTGTGGGAGGTAAGTGGAGGGAAATGAATAAGGACTGAGTTTAACATGACAGGTCTCCATATTCCAACTTCTGTCACTGAGAAACTATTTGCTTATCTACCAGGAGGTGTATAACACAAGGGGTGATCAAAATATACAGTGAATGTTTAAATTTCAAAAAATCATTACAGTAGCATCATATTGACATTAGTCCTCCTCAAAATCCCCCCAGCACTTGAATACACTTATCTCATTGCTCTTGCCACTTTCTTTTTTTTTTTGTTTGTTTGTTTTCTCCTGTACTGGGAACCGAACTCACGACCTTGCGCTTGCCAGGCGCTTTGTCACTGAGCTAAATCCCCAGCCCCTCTTTCCACTTTCTGAAGCAGCTCTGGAAGTACTCTTTCATGAGTGTCTTCACAAGGTGCTATCAAAGACACAGGGAACGCTGCTGCTGAGTACTACCCAATGGGAGGCAGGCTCATAAAAACGTGACAGTGTGTCTTCATTCACCTTATTCTCTGGATTTAGCATCGTGTGTCTTCTGGATCTTCCCAAAGTTAAGGGGACCGTGAGAGGTCAGTATTTTGAATCATTCAGGACATTGAGGCAGCCAGGACAGTGCAATTAAAGACACTCAGAAAAGAGGACTTCCAAAGCTGCTTCAGAAAGTGGCCGCAAAGATGGGATAAGTGTATTTGAAGCAAAGGGGAATATTTCGAGGGAGATTCATGGTGATGTGTCTTTTACTGTATTTTTAAAAAATTTGAACATTCACCATGGTTTTTGATCACACTCCATATTGCATCTCAACACAATGGAAAGATTTGATGCCCGTTTTATGGATGTGCAGATAAAGACCCTTCCCAGAGGCTAACCTCTGGCCAAGGCCGCGCTGTAAGAGGCTTTGTCCTCGAACACGAACCTTCGTAGAGTACCACACTGCCCATGCTGTTTTTCGAAAGCAGGTCCCTCAGCTGCTGGAGGCGCTGTGCTGTCTGCACACTGCGCACATAAACACGGTGTATTCACAGAAATCACCCACTGCCCTCCCTGGGGTTTATTTCTGTCTCAAAGAAAAGGAGGAGGAATCCATCCCGGAAAACTCTCTTCCTTAGAAGACCAGGTCATTGTGCAAGACCCTTCCCGTTGTGGGTGTCCCAAGGAGTGGGGTGCCTTTGATGCCCAACACCTTGCCCCGCGTTGGTAGTCTCCCCAAATCTACCCAATGGCTGGTTTTATCTCATGGTGCCCATCTCACCCTTCCCTCTAGCCATATGTGGACACTCATTTATCCCCGTTAGGCTAACGTTCTACGCCATATGCCTCTGCCAAAACTGTCACCATGGAGTGCCTAACTACGGCTCTCTTCTTGGCAGAATCCATTCCTAGCATCTGAGTTGGTGGAGCACTTCTGGACATCCGGTGAAAACTGACCCAGCTGCCTCTCTGGTCTTCCGCCTGGGTGTGGGGCATCACACCTGTATGGGACTCACCTGGCCAGGAGGCAAATTCCTAGAAGAATCAACGTTCTCCTCACCTTCATGTCCCCAAGCAGGGCCTGGCCAGAATAGATGTGCACCTCCACTTGCTCAATGAATGATGATTCTACATTGAACCCTTACTTTTCTGAGAAGATGCTTAGATGAGGAAATCATGTCCTGAGTCAAATTTAATGTCTAGATTCAGTGTTGACCGAATGGGGGAATTTGATTCAGCTGTCATCCAGTTTGCACTGCAACTGGAATCGTGGGGAGAATTGAGTCTGTGAACCAAGCTACCACTGTATTTCACATCTACAACACATAGGAGTTTCATGAAATCTAGTGGGAACTGGGAATTTCCACTTGAGAAAACATAGGAAAGACTTAGATAAGAGAATTGAAAACATAAACTCTGGCAGGAACAAAGGTATTTTTTTCTTTCTCCTTTACTAAATTAGTACCACTTGGTTCAAGGACAATAGATCATTTTTGCTAAGCTTAAAATTTATTAGATTCTTTCTTCTTTTGTCAAACTTTAGATGCATGATTTAAACATATTTCATGGGGAAAACTGCACTGTTCTCTTCATGTTGCTATTTATCCACGGAAAGCAAGGTGCTTTGCAAACACCCATGGTACTTCACAAGATTCCTGTTAAATGAGTCAATCCACTTTCCATACTTTAGGGGGCAGAAAATCTGAAACACAAGTGAAAAAAATTTTTGTGCACATAAGGCATGCATAACTGTGCTGATACTAGAACATAAAATATTTCACACCACCCTTCAGGGTTGAGCGCCTGAGCTCTGTTTCCCCATCTGCACGCCCAAGCAGTCATTTCAGTTACATAATTGTGGGTTAAGCCCTGCTTTATGCATCGATCTGTAATACACATTGCAAAAGATGCAGCGATCCTCTATGGTGCTCAGGCTTTATGACCCACATATTGAAGAGCCTAGAGCAGATTAGGAGATAAAAACAAATTCAAGAGCTAGCACAAAGCACTGTGAGAAGAACAGTGTGACTTAGTTGCAGCTAAATGCTGGATAAGTGAATAGGGTAGAGCAGTTCTACGAGCTACACAAACCAGGAAGAAGGCAAAAGCAAGGAGGCCGAGGTGTCAGGGTTCGGAAGATGAGGGTGGATGGTAGTCAGCACAGTCCGTGCAGGAGAACGAGGCTAAATGACGAGGTGGTACATGGCTGAGGAGTGCGCGGAGGGCGGAATTAACGAGCAAGTAGGGGATGAAGCTTCGAGGATGTAAGAAAAATGAGGGGAGAGGACGGAAAGCTGATTTGGAAACTAAGGCTTTTCCTGATAGGTGACTTCAGTGGCAGAGATATCAGGGAAAGGGAATAACATTTGAAAAACTTTTTTAAAGTGAGTGAACCCTAGCCCTAACCCTAACCCTAACCCTGACCCTGACAATGACCCTGACCCTTTCCCTGACCCTGACCCTGACAATGACCCTGACAATGACCCTGACCCTTTACGCTGACTCTGACCCTGACCCTTTACCCTGACCCTGACCCTGACCCTGACCCTTTACCCTGACCCTGACCCTAACCCTAACCCTAATCCTGTCCTTAACCCTAACCCTGCTGAATCAAGTAACATCAGGAATGGAAAGTATCTGTCTTAGAAGTCATGAAGGAGAAAAAAGGAAACTCTACAAAAAAACTCACCAAGAAAGAGATTGTGGTCTACTTGGATATTTATGGAAAGGGCTTATGTGAACGTCCTGTACGAGGGAATTATTTGCGAGGATAATCCTCCCAATATCCCTTTGCGAGGAATTATTTTAAAGGAATGACCAAAGTGCTTCCTTCGCATTCATTTAGTTACCTACCTGGCTGAATATTAGTGGTCCAGATTCAGTAGCTCCAACAGCTGTAAGGAGCAGACACTTGCTACTGAGTCTCCAGATCCGGGAGGGAGGCTCTGCGGGTGAGAAGAGGTCAGGGAAAGCAGGGCAGACGGACCACACAGCAGAGGTGGCCCAGTCAGCCTTACTGGATGAGGTCCCTGTTGCTGAGCCCATCTTCCTCCATCTTCCATCGTCGTTCCCAGCACGGTGGCCATCTCATCCCCAGCACATTGGGAAAGGCTGCCTGACCTTCACAGGCTGGGCATCATGTCCGCTAGGATCCAGAGAAATTTCTCCGCCGTTGCTGCCCTCTCATGAACATTGTTTTCTTTCAAAAACAGATACAAGTTTGCAAATTCAGTACCATGGGTGATATGGTGCTGATTGGTGTTAATTAAGCCAGCAGTAACCTCTTGATCCGGAATTCCAAAGCTTTAGTTTGCAGAAGTTGCAAGTGTTTGGACAGTGTGGGGTGAGAATGGAGACCTGCGGGTGGTTGTGTTCTCTTCTCTGATACTGCTTGTGCTTTGATTTGATTGCTTTTATTTAGGCTTGGGTGTCCTGATTCTAGCTACTGAATCTGGACCAGTAATATTCAGCCGGATGGTTATTTAAATGAATGTTAAAGAAGCACTTTGATCATTACTTTAAAATAATTACACACATAGGGGTTAAACCCTCATCTAGGACATTCACATAAGCCCTTTAAATAAATATCAAAGTACAGTGACCCCTCACCTATCGTGGGAGTTACGTTCCAGAGACCCCTGAGATAGGTGAACATCCACCAAAGAGCAGCGTTCTATTTATTATATTATTTAAATATTTTAAGGCATTATAAGCCCTTCCCACACTCCTGCACACCTTCCCGAGGAAACCCTTCCTCCCAAAGCCTCAGCTTCCAGCCGGGGCGGTGCCTAGGGCCGCCCCAGGGAACCGGTGTCTCAGCTCAGAGGACAGGAGGGGAGGGCAGGACAGGTGGATGGAGGGTGGGAGCAGGCCGGGGCCAGGGGCAGTGCCGCATGCCCTCCTCACCTATAAGCAGGGCCGGCCCATTGTGGGTTGGCTCACATGGCCAGGTGGCTCTGAGAGCTTAGGCTGGCAGTAGTGGAGTACTGCACTTCCACTGTGTGCAGTACAGTATTCATCTGCTGATGAAATACATACCGTACTGTATCAGTCAGGGTTTACTAGAGGAACAGATATAATACAAGATAAACAAATGTACAAGGAATTACAAGTTCGGCTTACAATGGTCAGCTACAGAGTTGGATGAGGAAGCGTGCAGAGGGTGTCTGCACACTGGAGATTGAAGAGCCCAGCCCCTGGAGCTCGCTGGGCCTGAGGCTCGCTGCAGTGTCCGTGCAAGTCCACATCAAAAGGCTGATGGGTCTGCGACGGAATGCTGAAGAATCTACAAGGAAGGCCGGAGAGCCAACACCAGAAGGCTGAAGAATCCAGACGGAAGCCCAACAGTCTGCACCAGAAGCCAGGAGACGACCGAGCTGAAGGCGAAGACCGGAGCTGAAGGCGAAGACCGGAGCTCCTCCGAAGAACCAGCAGCCAGTCCTTCCTCAATTCCTTTTTTTTATGCAGTCTACCCGCTCTGCGGAGATGGGGGCGGTCCTCCACACCCACACCCTCTGCATGCCTGCCTCTTGCACAGGCTCAGGATGAATACAAAGTAAGCAAACTGGACCCCTTCTGAGTTGCATAGTTAACCTTCTAAACTTCTCAAATTAACACAATAAACAACATCCCAGAAGGGTAAGGGCGTGTCCTTTTTACCCCAAGATGCAGAACTGCTGAGTCACTTAGCCAAACCTCTAGACTCCCCAAGTTGGCACAATGTATCAACCATAACACGTACAGTATTTATTTCAATTTAATATTCTTTTATTATGTTTAATTTAACATTTTTATATCTTTATATTTTAAATTTTTTAGGCAAAAATAATTAAAATAATAAATATTATAGAAATACCTGTATGCCACAAAATCCCGGAATATAGTGAAAACTCTGCAATACAGAATTAGATCTACTGTTTTTAAAAAACCTGTGATACAGTGAAGCCACAATAAGTCAACATCAGCATAGCGAGGAAGGACTTGTAGACCACAGTCATTTTCCTGATGAGCTTTTTGTAGGGCTTCCTCTGTCTCTTTCATGGTTTCTAGGACAGATACTCTCCATACCTGATGCTGTTAGTTGATTCAGCAGTGTCAAAGCCCTGGGGTCTTAGCTGCGCTCACCTCGAAGTTTCCAGAGGGTGAGTGACCGCTTGGCTTGCTTCCATGCTGCGTCCCATGTGACCCTGCAAGGCAGACTCAGTCAACGAGCAGTAAAGAGCTCCGCTTTTATAGCCCGCCCCCTACTCTGGCTCCTTTGACTTCAAACTTTGGCCGTGGACAGTCGCCTTGGGAGTCAAGGTGGTCACTGGCACCAAAAGGGCTGTGCTTCTGTCCTCCCCACAGTGGGGAACTGAAAAGGGGTGATGCAGTTAGGAAGTGACACGCCCCCCTTGCACTCTCCTCTCTTCTGGGCCAAGGTAGAATCTCAGCAGCTGTCCAGAACCCTTTCTGTCACTCACACCCAGTGGACCACACAACTGTCCCACCGGCTACGACCTCTGTCCTCACTCCGCCTCCCTCCCTCCAGCTCTCCTGCGGAACTGGGCGGGTGTCCCTGGAGCCCAAGGCATAATCTGGGAAACGTCTTTGCTTCCCCCATTGCCTTCACCTGGTCCATTTCCTGCAAAGGCCAGGAAGAAACATTATTCACATAAGTTCAACCCTGCCATTCCAAGTCTTAAAACTCTTGAAAGATCTGAATATTTCTACCCTGCTTGAAAGACCTGCAAGACGTGGCCTGTAACACACACACACACATACACACACACACACACATACACACCTGGGGACTGGCTGTGAACCTAGGGTGTTTGTCCCTCCGTCCACAGAGGTTTGCCAGCAGGGGCTGCCCGCAGGGCCAAAACTGATGGGACAGGACTCAGGGACAGAGGGCAAAGGTCACCATGTTCAGTAGGTCACCTTGATGGGCGGGGTGAAAGCAGGTGAGGGAGGGAGGCTGGAGAGGTCTCCTGACGAAGGACCAGCTTGAGGACTTTGAGTGCGAAGGAGCCCGTCAAGCGGCAGCAGGGACACCCACAGCGACTCTGGGGAGCACGGGGAGGTGGGGCAGAAAGTAGAAGACCGACAGACAATCCTCCAAGGCCGCGCTTTCCTCTCTTGGTCTGAAGGGGATGTGTTCTCACTCAGGCTTGAAACATCAGCTCCAGGGCACAAGGAAGGAGAGGAAACTGCTTGATGGGGAGTGTCAGAGCCGTGTGTCTCCTGGTGGCTCTTTGACAAGCTGCACACGGTGTCCACAGGGGCAGGGAGAGGGTGCAGGAGGCCCCTGGCTTCAGGCCCCATAAAGCGGGAACCAGCCCTGCAGCTCATGGAGGTGGAGACTGGGGCTTTGATTTGGGGCATGCTGCCATGGAGCAAGCAAAGGGGCAAGAGCCCGCGGTCCGGTGGCAAGAGCTACATGCATGCTGGGGGGCAGGGAATTATGCAGTGAATGTGCAGAGCAGGTCCCAGGTCAGGGCGTGGGGCGCATCCGTGCTCAAAGCCAACCAAAGAGACAGAAGAGAGGACCCTGCACAGGGGCCTCCAGAGGGGCGTTGCGGAGAGGACTCAGGGTGCAGGGAAAGGGGTGGCGGCTGCCGTGAGCTGTGCCAGAAGCGGCATTAACTACCCCCCTCAGAAAACCTCTCCCTTGGCTCTGTCATTTCCCCTTCCAGTAACCAAGAACATGGAAGAAGTGGCTGCCCTGATGTGAAGCCGTTAACTGGAGACAACTTTGTGTCACCCGCCACAGCCCAGGGACATCTGGCATGATCTCGAGAGGCTCTGGGTATCATAAGGGGGCCAGGGGCGGGCTGCTTCCGGTATCAGGTGAGGAGGAGGGGGCAGGGCTGCTACCCACCGTCCTGCAGTGCACACGGGGACCCCCGTGCCCACCATGAAAAACTGCACCCCCCACTCTTGTCACGCAGAGGCCGGAAGCCCCCAAGGAGACGAGCATCGATGACACTGCCCCTGAGAGTCACTTCAGGGGGCCACTGCCCTCAGCTCCCTCTCACCCTGACAGCGGCGAGTCCATGGAAACACTTCCAGGATGAGACACAAGCCAGCCAGCTCCCGGCATGGGAGGCGCAGCCATAGAGCAGCATGAGAGGTGAGCGCCCACCTCCAGGCGGGAAGCCAGGAGGGCTTGGAGCCAGGATCAGTTGGGTTCTGAGAAGAAGAACCAACTTGCAGCCCCACAAGAAGCCCAGTGTCCCTTCTGAGGGCACAGCCCTAGTGGTCAAAGGGCCTCCCAAGAGACCCCAGCTCTTCACTGTCCCACAAGGTCTCCCATCACCCCACTGAGGACCCCACGTCCCATACGGGAGTCCTTGGGGGACAAACCCAGTTCACATCTGCTCTGGTCTGCGGGAAGTGACGGCACGGTGCACCCTATGTGCCAGGCCCCTCCCGC